ATTTTCAATCAATATAAATTATGTTGAAAATAAAATATATAAAAAAAAGAATATGTATGAACTAAGTTATGAGAATTATCGATTTAATAAAATAGTAATATTTATATCAATGAACCCTATCAATAGTGAGTTTAACGCCATCACTAGGGCGAACAATTTTCAATCAATATAAATTATGTTGAAAATAAAATATATAAAAAAAAGAATATGTATGAACTAAGTTATGAGAATTATCGATTTAATAAAATAGTAATATTTATGTCAATGAACCCTATCAATAGTGAGTTTAACCCCATCACTAGGGCGAACAGTTGTCAATCAATATAAATTATGTTGAAAAAAAAATTATATAAAAAAAAGAATATGTATGAAATAAGTTATGAGAATTATCGATTTGATAATATAGAACAAATATGTAATATTTATCTCAATGAACCCTATCAATAGTGAGTTTAACGCCATCACTAGGGCGAACAATTTTCAATCAATATAAATTATGTTGAAAATAAAATATATAAAAAAAAGAATATGTATGAACTAAGTTATGAGAATTATCGATTTAATAAAATAGTAATATTTATGTCAATGAACCCTATCAATAGTGAGTTTAACCCCATCACTAGGGCGAACAGTTGTCAATCAATATAAATTATGTTGAAAAAAAAAAAATATATAAAAAAGAGAATATGTATGAACTAAGTTTTGAAAATTATCGATTTAATAATATAGAACAAATGTTTAATATTAATCTCAATGAACCCTATCAATAGTGAGTTTAACGCCATCACTAGGGCGAACAATTTTCAATCAATATAAATTATGTTGAAAAAAAATTATATAAAAAAAAGAATATGTATGAATTAAGTTATGAGAATTATTGATTTGATGATATAAAACAAATATGTAATATTTATGTCAATGAACCCTATCAATAGTGAGTTTAACCTCGTCACTAGGGCGAACAGTTGTCAATCAATATAAATTATGTTGAAAAAAAAATTATATAAAAAAAAGAATATGTATGAAATAAGTTATGAGAATTATCGATTTGATAATATAGAACAAATATGTAATATTTATCTCAATGAACCCTATCAATAGTGAGTTTAACGCCATCACTAGGGCGAACAATTTTCAATCAATATAAATTATGTTGAAAAAAAATTATATAAAAAAAAGAATATGTATGAAATAAGTTATGAGAATTATCGATTTGATAATATTGAACAAATATGTAGTATTTATCTCAATGAACCCTATCAATAGTGAGTTTAACCCCATCACTAGGGCGAACAGTTGTCAATCAATATAAATTATGTTGAAAAAAAAATTATATAAAAAAAAGAATATGTATGAAATAAGTTATGAGAATTATCGATTTGATAATATTGAACAAATATGTAGTATTTATCTCAATGAACCCTATCAATAGTGAGTTTAACGCCATCACTAGGGCGAACAATTGTCAATCAATATAAATTATGTTGAAAAAAAAATTATATAAAAAAAAGAATATGTATGAAATAAGTTATGAGAATTATCGATTTGATAATATAGAACAAATATGTAATATTTATCTCAATGAACCCTATCAATAGTGAGTTTAACGCCATCACTAGGGCGAACAATTTTCAATCAATATAAATTATGTTGAAAATAAAATATATAAAAAAAAGAATATGTATGAACTAAGTTATGAGAATTATCGATTTAATAAAATAGAAATATTTATGTCAATGAACCCTATCAATAGTGAGTTTAACGCCATCACTAGGGCGAACAATTTTCAATCAATATAAATTATGTTGAAAATAAAATATATAAAAAAAAGAATATGTATGAACTAAGTTATGAGAATTATCGATTTAATAAAATAGTAATATTTATGTCAATGAACCCTATCAATAGTGAGTTTAACCTCGTCACTAGGGCGAACAGTTGTCAATCAATATAAATTATGTTGAAAAAAAAAAATATATAAAAAAGAGAATATGTATGAACTAAGTTTTGAAAATTATCGATTTAATAATGTAGAACAAATATTTAATATTAATCTCAATGAACCCTATCAATTATTTTAAATAAACCACCTTGTAAAAAATAAATACCTCGACGTTTAATGTAATTTTATTTAAAAAAAAATATATATATATATATATTTATTTACTTTTAGGTTAATCGAAACAATATTGTGCCGATTTATTGATCTTTAGGTATAAATATATCAAATCATTGACTAATATGTCCAACTGTTAAACTTAAATAATTTAATTGACAAGGACCTATTACTAATATTGATGTGCATTTGCACTTTTATAATAAAATATTATTTTATTGCATAAAATTACTTTATGTATGTGCATATAAATTCATTATTAAATTGTATTTTACATCCATTATTGAATTTGTATAAAGTCTCTTTGTGGTTTATTATTTAAATCCGTATTATGTTAGTTAATATGAAAGATATTATACTCTAAATGTAGATATGTTTCAATAATTTACCACAAGTCATTGCTACTTTAGAGTACATTCAATTATATTCATGATTTATATGTAATTTTGATGTTTCAAATATTTATTTATGATAGTTTTTTTTGTTCAGATTTCTGTTACTGTGACGTATTTTTTAACGTAACTTACCGAGAATTTGTTTTGTTATTTTTCATAGTGAACCAAATATATGCGGTATTTAACATTCAACTTATAATTGAATCCACACTATAGTGAATAGTTAGTAATTTTTTTTTTTTTAAAATAATCTTTGCAAAGTTGTATTAACTACAAGATACTTCAATACCGTAATAACCAAATGAGTTTAACATTATATTTAAACATAAATACCTGCGTTGTGTTTTTAGTTATATTATATGTTTGTTTATAGTTTTTAAAACTAAAAAGTAGGTAGGATTTTTATTCAAATATGAAAACTGCATTTATCGTTAAAAGAATGTTATTATAATAAAAATAATATAAATAATATAATTAAACACGTAAAACAATAGCGTGTGTGATTAAGACAAATTAGGGGAAAAAATCTATAAAATTAAAACTGTTTCATTTTCAAAATATCATGTGCCCATTAGTCGAATGTTAGCAGTGGTAAACCCATAATCGACTTGTTTGATGATGATAGACTATCCGAGGTGGTTGTTTTAGTAACCAGCAAAACATCTATAACAATTAAAAAATTAAATATTAGACAAACTGATATAATAATATGATAATAAGTGGTATTATTATTTGAACACACCTTCTAGCACAGTCCACCATGGACACGCGATTACTGTAAATGCGACACTCAAGGCAGGTGGTGGAGGAGGCAATTCAAGCGGTTGTGGACGGAATTGAGGCTGTCGTCGACGGCGATTTTTTTGGTTACTGGTTATGTTGAAATTTTGATGTTGATTTTTCAGGTTACAGTGTACAGCTGTAGAAGGTGCAGGAATTTGCGGTGGTGGTTTACCGCAAAAATTGTAGTCGTTGTCGGGTAGTCTTGAAGATATTGACCCTAAACATCATAGTGGACATATCCACATAGAATATAAATGCACGATTAAATTCAAAAACGTTAATTATTACTATGCATGTACCACATATGACCTAACCTAACCTTTCTTTTTTTTGTTTAAATCTTACCGATTTGTAGAAGACTAAGAAAATATTTCTAGTTAAAAAATACATGGAAAGAAGATTTGCAAAATAGATAAGATTGAAAAAAATTATCGTCTGAGAATAGGATTATGCATTTCATTTTCAGTAAATAAACTTCGAATTTGTGTATACCTGAACTTGAGACAGATAATTCCTCACTTATTTGTAAAACCAGCAGGACCTGATCAATGCACACAAGGTGACTAATTAATAGACAACCAAAAAGCAGGAAATGCAGTTTAATACTGAATAAAGGAAAATATTATACAGTGTATAAAATTGTGTTCTATTAATATATAAAACAGAGAATAAAGTATAATGAAACAGTTTTATTAAATAGTAAAATATAAAATTATGTGTTGGTTTGAAATGTTTAGACGCAAACATTTGAAACATATGAAATTCAAGTGGAACACTTCCATTTTTCCCGGGAGTTTTCCCAACAAATGTGAAAAACCAGGATAAAACACGGAAAAACTGGGAAAATCGGTACAATATTAAATAAATATTATTAAAGAAAATATGTAAAGCCTATTTAATTATTTTACTAAAAAATAACATATTTATTGTTGACAAAGCATCAACTAAACTCCCCTCAGAATCGATTTTTCATTAGCAATAGTTTATCGTTGCTTACAGATATGCATTAAATTATCTATAACAGTGGCTGCACCCGTCCCTATTATCTTAGGACGTCTTTTCAATTTCGGTAATCAATTACCTGTTTCATTATACTCTATTTTTTATTTTTATATTTATAGAACAAAATTGCTGTTACATACAATTCTTTACACTCTGTATAGCCAATTTATGGCACCAGAATGTAACTTTTTATTTATTTTTTTCTTACGTTAAGGTTCTCACAAATTATTTTAGTTTAATTCATTTTTTTTATCTTTCAGCTATTAATATGCCTCTAAATGTGCCACTGTACTACATATATATATACACTGCTAAAGTTAATTTAGAGTTGGCACGTTAGATCTACCAGATTAAACCAGTTTGCCCTGCCAAAATAGGGCAAACTTCCCAAATCGACTGAACTATGCCAGTTACTGTAATCCAAATTTTTGGAGCCAGAATTGAAATGTTGGTATTTTTAAGAACTGGAACTGAAAATGTCTATTTTTGTAGAGCCAGATCGAATCCAAAACCAGGAGCCAGCTAATAAACCAAACCGGAACCGACAATTTATCAAGGTTCCAGTCTTTAATATGTAGATTGATTGGTCACACTGACAAAATTCACGATGAAATAAAATCCATCGACAATTCTGCTGGTGTATAATATTAGGTGAAAATATAACTAAGTATTTGTGTCACTTACCCTTTCGAAAGAGTCGCTTACGCCTCAGATCGGTAGCCACTATCTCGTTTGTCCACTCGACCAGGTTATTGTCGTCATCGTCATAGTTATCAACCGTAACGACCGAGTCACTGTCACTGTCACACCGTTCCCAATCAACCACTGGATCACCAGACGATCTTTGTAGACTCCATTCTCGATAGGGGTCGGTACCAACGGTCGCGGCGGCCGCTAGAGCTCCGATGAATTCACCATCGCTATCTTGGTCGTCCGAAGTTGAATCACCACCACCTTCGTTTGCAGAGTCGGAACAGGAATCTGAGTCATTGATACTGTTGCATTCATCATCGGTGGTACTACAGCAGCTGCTATGATTCACATTGCCACCAGCGCTGGCACTCCGACGGCGGCGATGATTTTTTGTTATTGCGGTAGCGGTGACATCTTTTCTTTGCTGTGATGCTGTCTTCTTGCTCTTAGTTCGCCTTCTTTGCTGACGATTCTTCCGTCGCATCCACCAGCCACCGGGACTTTTGCGCACGTACTGTATGAAGCCTGAGGCAGCCGCTTCGGCAGCACAATAGTACGGTACCGGTGGTGGTGGCATGAGAAGTGGCCACTTATGTTGCTTTCGCTGCTGTTTTACAGGAACATCGTAACCACTGTACGACCAACCACTGCCACCATATTGATCCAATCCCTCACTCTCGGACCAGGCCCGGTTTGGGTACTGCGTCCTTCCCGGTGTTGCTACTGCCGCCGCAATACCATAATATTCGCTGGGTTGTTGGTGACCATAGTAATTATAGTTGTGTTTTTGTTTTCGATGATTTCTGCTTTCACCATAAACGTTGGTCGTTGTATTGTAAGGTAGCTGCTGATATTGTTGTTGATCATCGTCTCCGTCGATCAGATCAAATAAAGATGTAGAACAAGGATCACTGAGCCGTCTCTATATATACGTAGGAGTAACCAATAACATAACGAGAATATTATAGTCGAACAGTAGAATTTTTCCAATAGTAGATATAATGAAAGAGAATAGACTGAGGTAGGTGGGAAATATGATGAGAATAGTAGTAGCTATAGTATTATAAGAGTAGTAGCTTATACAGTTAACTTGTAGTAAATTTCTCAGGGAGACGGAAAATATATATTTTTTGTATACAAAGAAAAAAATTCAATATACATGAGAAACCTCATTAGAAATATATAGAAAAATACGTACAATATTAAACAAATATTATTGAATAACATTTATAATGCATATAATTTAATTAATTTACCTTAATAATATGACAGATTATATATTGTTACAAAGCGACACTATTAACCAAACTCCGCTTAGAATCGTTTTTTTCGTTAGCAATGATTAACCTTTGCTTACAGATATGCATTTAATTCCCTTCTATATCTTACCTACCTAATTTTTTATCTTTAACAGTAGTCCACTCATCGTGCGTAGTATGTTCGTCTTTTTTTTTATTATTGATTCATTATAATATTCTATATTAATTCACGACAAAATTTTTCCGGTCATAAAATATACAAAATACCGCAACATAGAAACGTATGTAATATATTATAAAACATTCAAATTTTTAAAATGTTTAAAATATTTAACTAGCGTCATTTATTAGTCGTTTGTATAATATTATGTATAATTCAAAATGTACATAAATTATTTAACTATAAAATTGTATAATTATTATCGTTATAGAAAATATTTTCCTTTTTTTTGAATATTATGGTATATTATTACACTTGGCGTGTAATATTACAACTAATTAAGTGTAATAATATTTATATATATATATATATATATATATATATCAATAATTATTGTAGGTTAACCAACTTTTATAAACCTCCAATATTCAAGAAGTTGTTTGAATAAGAGATGATACTGCTAATGAGCGTGCGACTATTATAGGTGAGAAGTTGGGAAGGTAGGATACATAGAATTGTTTAATTTACATCTGTACGCAACGATAAATCATTATTGATCATTATTAAATACGGTTATGAGTGAAGTTCGGTTAAACTTGTTTGAACCTTAAAATTAAACTTGAAATGCCATGATGCAAATGATTTTTATCAAAATTTGAATTTAAAAAAGCTTATAAAACACCTACTACATTATGCCCAATTTGTTTGTTATTTTGTTTCAACTGGTAAAACTTCACACGAATTTCATGTAAAATGTTTAAGCATTTCTGGTGTCAAACAATTTTATCCGTTTATTTTAATATAAACCTACCAAATACAAACTAAAAAAAAAAACAAGAAAATTTGAATAGCTATAAATAGTTTAAAACTGGTTTTACTACCTATTTAAGAGGCTAATATAATTATGCAATGAAATTTCAGATCTTTAGGATTATTTTAAACCGAATTACAACAAATTAATAAATTACCCGTTTTCCATAGGGTTTGCAACTATTAAGAAAACTACAAGTAAAATAAAAAAAATGACGCACCGACTAGATCCAAAATTCTAAAAAAAAAGCTCTTTCGTCTTTTTTTTTTTTTTTTGATTTGAACAAGATTAAGCAAAATAGTTGTTCACGGACACAGAAAAAAAAAAAAAAACATTTAGTAAAACCAATTCGGCTCTCACTGTGCTCACAATCTAAAATATAACAAATAGGCATGATAATAATATTAATAGTATGATGGATGGAATTAAGAGTAGTGTTTGTATACATTTTGTACTTGCGAAATTTTTGCGCACACGAAATTTTGACGGGATACCATTTCATTATGTACTTATAATATTTGATTTAAAAGCAGAATATGAAAAAAGAAAAGAAAAAATGAATGAACGGAACATCATCTTACCGGTCTGCCGCTACGGCGCCGCTGCCGGTCGAGTCGTTGTTTTTGATGGGACGGCGTCTGAGGCGTTTGTTGTCCGCTGCCACCGGCCGCCGTCGCAGTTTCGTAGTCCCAACCGTAATCGTAAAAGTCGCCGGGTTCGGAGGCAGTGGCCGTCCCGGCGAACGGGGATGAAGCATAATCAGTCTGTTGCTGATGCAGTTGACGGTAACGGTCGTCCACGTCATCGTAATACCCGTATCCGAAGTTGCCCTCGGCGTTGGCGCCATCGTCGACCTCTGCCCCGGCACCGGCGTAGTACTGTCTCCGTGGAAATTCGCCGTTGAAATCTTCGCGGTGGCCGACACAAGTTGTCTCGGTTTCCGGCGGCTGGACCGCGGCTGAACGTATAGAAAAAAAAAAAAAATTCAAACCCCAATACGGGTTACGATCACGTACCAAATGTTGGTTGTACAAATACACGCGCGCCGGACACAAACCTTTATAATTATCGCCATGGACGGGAACGAACCCCAAATGTTTTAAAAGGTTGAGTTTACACGACGCACAAATGCGTTAAACGACAAGAAATGAAAAAAAAAAAACCGATTTCCAATAATTCACAAGTAGAACACTCATGAACGAAAAACATTTACCTACAGCGGTAGCGCGATAGGCACCCCCGAATTTAATTGTGTCGAACCACATCGGAGGTATTTAACGTGGACAAGTTATACATATTGGTGAAAAAAATTGGTTTAGTGTTGTTTATTTTTCGGTTTGTCTAGAGTTAAAATTCAATACAGACGGGAAACACATTTCATTATACTTCTATAATAGGACCCATAGTGCTAAAATCTGAAAATCGTAAATTTGACACTCTGCGTAAGGTTCGTTCCCGTCAACGATGTTGTGCACCTTTAAAGCGATGACGCTACGATAGCGGTTTTCGATAACTATTGACAGGATCAGAACAGTGAACAAAATATAGCTGATGTAAATACATTCCAATCCATTTAATGACAATATATTATACTATTATGTTTTAATTACTAATATTCTAATAGCGTGTCTAACCTAATAATATGTCACATATTCAAACTATCTTAACCCAACACACACATGCGCTCGGTATATTATTTTGTTATATTATGCAAACATCGATACATCGTTTACCTACGCGTCTTCATTCTCGAGTTATGGGATACATGATAATGCACATATAAATAAGCAACCGCTTCACACAATACGTATATATGAATGAGTCAACCAAAAAAAAAAATAAATACAAAATCCACTCCAAGACGCTATTGCATCCTGCTATTAACCTGTAACCTTAGAATAATGCAAATTACTCCGGCAGTAATAATTCTAGAAATAAAACAATATTCATAGGAATATTATTACAAAGACCGTTTATTCTCTAGTAGCCAAGGTAAATTGGAATTTAAAAAAAATAAAACCTAAACAAAAACTTGTTGTGAGTTATTTAATTTAATTAGAAAAATTTTTGTGAATTTAGACAAAATGGTAAAACTAAAATACCTGATTATGCATGTGACTAAGGCACGGTACAACATTTAATTGTTGTTTGTGTTTTTTTTTCTTTCTATAAACAGGTTGCTTATAGTTGCTTATATTTTAACAAAAATTCTACTCTCTTTGGGGGTCATTTTTTTTTGATATTCTCAAGAGTTTTCTCATCAAATTTAAAAACCGAAAAAAAAAGGAGAAAACACGGAAAATGTACGAAATATATTATTAAAATATTAAGATTTTTTTTTTCTGTGCTCAATTTTTCAACAACCGATTTTGCTTCAACTTATAATGAAACTAATAATTCTAAAAGTAAATCCGACTGTAGAGGTACTTTATAGAGGTCATTTTTCGATTTTCTCGAGAGCTTTCCCAGAAAATGTGAAAAATCGAGAAAAAACATGGGAAAACCGCGAAAAACGTAGAAAAAATGGGAAAATCGGTACAATATTATATAACTGCTATTAAAGAAAATATATAATGCCTATTTAATTATTTACCATAATATGACATGCATATTGTTGACAAAGTATCACTATCAACTGAACTCTGCCCAGAATCGTTTTTAGTAAGCAATATTTTATTGTTGCTTACAGATACAAATTAATTTCCCTTCTATATCCTACATTCCTAACTTCTCACCATCAGTAGCTGCACCTATCGTGCGGAGTATATTTGTCTTTTTTTATGTAGTTTTTTAGATTAAAATTGTTGTGACCTAATAAAATAAACTCGAAAGATTATCACGAGCATCATTATAAGTTACAATTAGTGATCAGAAAAATACGGAATGTATTGGTAATTTAAATATAACATGTGATTTTTTATATGTGGGTATCGATTACGTACTACAATTTATATTAAATATAATATAATATAATATTTAATATATTTATATTAAATTCATAACAATGATACCACCAATTTACATAATTATTTAAATTATATTCCTAGGTAAGATTAAAGAAAAAACAAAAAATAACTGTACGTCTTGTTGGTACAATATCATTAATTTTTCATAATTTTAACATCTTAAAACTTAATTGTAAAAAATAGGAACTGACACTGCTGGTAGGGGCTCAACTGGTGTAGATGGAAAATAGGGAAGTTAAAATACATAAAGTTAACTAATTTATATATGGAAGCAAACATAAATCATTGCTAACAAAATCCGATTCTGTGCGAAGTTCTGTTACACAAATGAGTACACGCTTTGAAATCTTAATTTTACGATTTTCGTAAAATTTTATTTAAAAATTCTTATAAAAATGACTGCATGTTGGTCAACTTTTTTAATTTTGACGATTAAGTAGAACCTATAATAAACCATTATAACTTTATAACTTTATAACATTATAACTATGATAAAGTATTTATCAATACTAACGTTATGATAAATGTCCATGTATTTCTGAAAGAAAAACTAAAAACAAAATTGGTTAGAAAATCAAAACACGTTTTACTTATTTACTAACTAGATCCGAAATGCAACAAAAAAATCTCTTACATTTTTTAATTAAAGCAAGATTTCTGATAGAAAATATAAACTATAAAAATTTAAAATAGTGAAATGACACACCGTAAATATTTGTCCGTATTAAGTTTAATTTTGTTTTCAGTTTTTCCCAGGTACCTATTATAATATTAATGCAATAAATTGTTCAACACCTATTATATTTTACGTAATCATACTATTATTACTTTCTACAGTAATATACTGAGCAGGCATAAATGTGTAAGATAATTTTTGGACTATATATAAACTTCAACATAGTCCCTTTTTATCTGCAAAAAATAGATCGTGTAATCTCCGAAACCGACCTTTATTATATTTTTACCTGTTAAAAATAGATGATGTAATCTCCTACACAGACATTTTTACATTTTAGATGTTGAGTTTAGGGAGGAATGTATATTGGTTTTACAATGATATTTGTTTGAGATATTTAAGTGGAAAAAAACGTACGATTTTACAATTTCATTTTAAATAAACACGCATGCCATTTTATACCAGAAATAGTTCTCGAATGGAAAAATGATAAAATACCTTTTTTGTTAGATTTTGGATAAATCTTCGTAGAGACTTACGAATGTAAAATATTAAAAGGTGAAATTAAATTTGGTTAGACGTATTAATATAAGGCATTGTATCAGAAATTTTCGAACATTTCAATAACGTTACGTTATTTCTGTAAATTGAAAATACAACAATCTCTTGCTCCTTTTTTCGCCACTCTATAATTCTTGAACGCTATACAATGAAAAAATGCATGTATAGGAAATCATCTTTAGGTAACTTATCTTTAGATAAGTAACATTTTTATCTAAGGTACATACTTTGATAACTTGGAAATATTTATATTGATAAAATAAAAGATAATTATAAATAAGTGTAGATAGTTCTGAACACAGGTTACTGGACTTTGTCCATAACATGTTTAATATTCTAATAATTATACTATTATAGTAGTAACTAGGGAACGGATTTATATACACTTGAAATCTACAAAAAAGCTCTTAAAAACGTTAAAAATTCCTAAAAGATCAATTTAAAATATTTAAAAGAACAATAATGGTAGCGGGGTTTTAAAAGTCACCCATCCAATGGTACTAAATTATTAAAAATAACTTTTCTACCTGAAATTGTACTCAGATTTTCAACTGTAACGTTCTTTCCGAAAATAAATTTACTGGAGTGGCATTTTAAGTCATTTTTTGATTTTCCCAGGAATTTTCATAAAGAATGAGGAAAACAGGGAAATGTACTAAATGTATTATTTTCAAATCGTAAATATTAAGACTAGTATTTACTTCTTATAGAGAGGGAAACTTTAAAACAACTTTATCACTTTGGCTTTTTTTAAATATTCTTATGGGCTCTTTTGACGATTTAAGCGTTCTTTTGGGGATTTTAAATGTATATATAATTCATTCCGTATGTATAACTTATAAGTAATATTAAAATGCAATTAATATGAAAATAGCATCGTATTTTTTTAATTTAACTACCGTGAAGAATGTATTATAATTGAAATTGGAATATTAATACCGTAAATATATAAACACAATATCTATAAGTATAAGATAGTGATCATAACAGCGCACTTGATTCAATTTAAAAATAGGAATCAAAAATCATTTCTTGGAATCGAACAACAAGGATTATTCATACACATTGCCTATATTTAATATACTACCTACTTTAATTCACTAACTCGTGTAAACCATGATAGCAAACACATATGTAAGGGTTCCTCAACAAGCTATCTCCAAAATGTTGTGAAACTTCATAAACATGTTTTTATAAATCGATTAAACATAAATAAATGATTTCTGTAATTTTAAAAAATATGGAAGACGTGGAAGATCTGCTGTGTTACTAATATTATTTTTTCGCTTTTTGTGATTATTTTTACTTCGTACAGGCTCTCAAAATATGTTTCTGTATACGCTTTTACATAGCACACAGTTCTACACATTATTTAGTTTATGTCTGTACTTAAAAGTTTTAATAATATAAATACAATAATATTGGTATACGTACACTGTGTAGAGACGGTGAAACTATAGTATAAAAGTTTCTATTTATATACCACTGAATCGGTATGTTTCGTTGGTGTCATTGCCTTTGACACGTAATAAGTAAATGAAAACGATGATTTTGGTTGTGTTGGTGGTATTGTCATTGTTGTGAAGTCTTAAAGAAATACAGAATGTTTAAACATCACTGGTTAGTAAAATTAATAGTATCGTTACAAATAAATGTGTTAAAAGTGTAAACTAAAAAATATTACTGACGCTAATAATCCACTTATGCCCGATGTCTTTGGTGTCTATCCTCACTTGTGTATGTCCAAATGATCAAAACGATTGTTGAACTTGGAAATGCAGAGTAGCCCATATTTCTTAATTCTCCTATCATTTTTTATAAAGAATATTATACAGCAATACAGATTTAATTTACTATATCATTACCATTTATCAATATTTTAACTATTAAAAATGTATTATTTTTATTGTTATCAATATTATAACTGTTTATGCTACATTTATTATTATTAAATTTTAATATTATTATTGATATTACAATAATATAAATGTCTTGATAAATGGAGGACGTATTAGATAAATACATATTATAGAATCTTAAAAAATGTTCGCAAGTGTCAATTGAAATATCAATATAATCAGATTTCCATCCCTCTTCCAGAAATAATTGTGTGCTATACTAATAAGCCATTTTCGCCTACATTGTCACTGTTGCTTCCATATGCATTTAAATCCACATTGTCAACTGACCCGCTAGCCGTGTCTCACATTTCCGGGTGGACGTTTTATGTTAAACTACTCGCATTTTCGGTAACTATCCATCGTGGTACCTAAACACCGTCGTTTGCTCTAGATGAAAGTGGCCACGACGTGCTGATGGTGATATCCGGTAGTTAAATCCATCAACCAGTGACCCGTTGATAAGTGTTATGATGTTAAAAAGCAGGTTAGACAAAGTGGATTTTTGTTTTGTCTATTTTCAACAGTACTGTCAGTGAACTTAAAATACCCAACAGCAGTAAGTACGCATGTATAGTTCTTACTCTCAAAATTGAGACAGAACCCCCAAATTTTTACTTTTTTTTTTTTTTTTAGTTTCTAATTTTACGATTTTTTTTTTGTTTTTATGGGCGCGTACGAACTGTCGGGGGTTGTCAACGTCGATCTAGTAATTTAAAAGTTGTTATGTCTGTCATTACAAAATTATTATGCTCATAGAATTTGTTTTTTTTTTTAAAGTATTTTCAAAATCTGCGTTGTGGTTGTAGCTGATGTTCTGGTGTTATTAGCTCATAGGTTAACTAATTTTCTTATAACCACCAGGTAAAAAAAAAGTTAACGCTTTTTGTTTCACAAACGTAGACATGGAAACTTCGTTAATGATGATTTTGTTGGTAATAATAGATATTTCACCTCCATTCCCATTCGTCATTGGCGGAACTTTAGGGTCATTTCACACAGCAAAACAAGTATATACATTCAACCATAATCTTTGCATTATTAGTTGACTGTATCCCTAGTATCGTAATAACAATTGTGTCACTGTTTTTTCCAGCCGTGACACAAGTATATACTGTTTTGGAGTGATGACTATTTTTATCCTTGATGGCTTCAGCGATCGTTGGACATGTTCTTTATTATTATTGACCCATCTTGGTTGTAGCATTACTGGGGTTGCGAATCGAAACATGGTAATTGGAATCAAATCTAAACCTTTGAATAGCATATGTTGTTCTTGCCAAGGTAATCACGCTGTAGTCTTATGCGTGCGCTTTCGTACGTAGTATATGCGATTAACACACACTACCAATACGAATGAAATGATCCATTAGCACGATTGATATAGGGCCGGCTCCAATATGGCATTATGGTGAACATTCCCAATATGTAAACATATTCTTAGATGAGAAGTGCGGATTAACCAATGAATAACCAAACATGCAAAGCCTCCCTTCCAACCAGTATAAAACCATCAGTACGGTGATATAATAGTAATGCTACGAGTAGTACATGTAGTACTATTGGCAACGTCTCATTAGACTGTTGCTGTGTAAGAGATAAACATATAATTTACACATGACAATAAAATTATAATGTTTATCTAAACTAAACACAGAGAAAAATAGTTCTCGATGTGCTTCAACGACGACCACCGAATTAATCGTCGTTGATGTTATAATACTATCAATAATAGACTACACTTTATTGATAGCATAGTTTCCGTTACCAAACGCAATGGGTATATGACAGAAAAATGTTGAACTTGATCGTATTCTCCTCTTTTTCCTTAACTTAAAATAACTTAACTAAACTTATGTTAGGTATCTTATAATTGTAAACTTAACCTAATGAAAGAGGAGATAGAGTAAGTCATTTTCGGAATCATGGAGGCCGATCTGAGTAAAAGATGTAGAATATTTACAAAATTTACAAAATTTAACTTAAATTAATGTATAGCTTAAATAATTTAAATTAAATAACTACTATTAATATTTATTATTGTATAATTTGAATAAATAAATATAAATATTGTATAATTTTAAAAAATAAATATAAATATTGTATAATTTTAATAAATATAAAAATACGAAAATAAATATATTTACAATACGAAAATAAATATATGTACAATAAACTATGAAAATTCAACAAAATTTTAATAAACCTAATAGTGACTTAGTTACGACAACTCTGCAGGTGTATGTGATAAAGTTAGCGTCGCCGATCGTGACACCTCAGAGGCAATCCGCACAGTATTATGCGAGTCACAACACATAATACTTGATCGACATGATCGGGCGGCCTCTGAACCGACGATTGAATAGTCTATTGGCAAGTGAAAGAGCACGTACAATAGTTACTATAGTCGACGGAAAGAGTGACACAGCTTATTCTGTTTATAGTAATAATTGTCTTTCATGAGAAAACAAATTATCACTGTTACTATATTGAATTCACTGGTGATGTTGGAAGCCATTATACTAAGTTGTTGTTGTATTTAATATTTAGTGAACATGGCAATAGCGATGGAGACAATAATTGCCGATTATAGAGATGGTAACGATGATTCACAAAGTTACTACGGATCCTCTTCCATAACCAGATAAACGCCACCACACTGTGATGTTACAGTGAAAAGTACCGACGACATTTAGCTAGTAACAACAAAAAAAATCGAGCCAGGGTACTAATTCCTGGAATTTTCCACAAGCCGGAAGGACATCGGTAGCGACAACTGTCGATTTATAGTGATTTTTACATGTTATGGGCAGCGATGACAATTGCGGCTATTGATAACGAGCAAACTTAAAAAAATCGTCTGAGTTAAATCGTTCAAAAAAAGTACATAATTTTAGAATCTACATTTGTGAAATATACATGAGTAGCAATTCACAACGACCAAATGCAATTAATTATTTAGTATTAAAATCATAAACTCGCCTCAAAATAGATCTGGCAAGCATATGCTATTAAATTGAAAAATAATTATCTTCTCAATGCACTTCGTTTTACTCGTAAGATTTAACGATTTAGTCCGCCTACTCACTTCCTGCATATTTATATTGAAAATACACGAATAATGTGATGTATAAGGCATGTACCATATACTATTCTTAAAGAGTATAGATTCATGGTGTCTACACCTGCATTTCCAAATTAAACTTCGGCTACATTATTATGATTAATTTAGATACTAAAACCGAAAACTGCTCTTCGGATAGGTAAAATTAATAATATAATCATTGATAATCAATGGTATTATTAATCAGTAATATTATCAGTTTATCACTCTTTCAAAGATATTATAATTATGTTGAATAGATTATGCATAATGGGAGAAATTAAATGGATTCGTAAATAATGTTTGAAAAATATACACACGACACATTTTACATAAACATGTATCAAACACTTGAAACTATACCATAGTAATAACAATAATAATAATAGTTAATAATATTACAGCAATTATGATTACGAAGTATTCATAATATATATATATATATATATATATATATATATATATATATATATTGCCAAGTAAAGCTACACCTGAAGGAGGTTAAAAAGGTTCAAAACTCACCGAAAATTGTTCGTGTTATATTATGTTGTGAGAAAACAATTCTAGTCAATAAAATTACAACAATAAAAATGTTTACTTTACAATCCCCCTTCAAAAAAAAAAAAAATATATTCCAGTTATGCTGGTCTACCTGATGCAACCAGCTTATGAAACTGGAAACAATTCCCCGATCAGTTCCAAATCAACCGAAACGAGGAGAACCTCTAAGATACCTTCCGAAGATTGGTTCATAAAGGTATCATTTTCAGAAAAGATATTTCTGATCGAGGCTCAGTTGACTAGGGTCCACGGGATTGTCACACCCGATACTCTAACATTAATCAGAGCACCCTTGCGGGAACAAGGAACAAAAAAAAAAAATTCAAAAATAAAAAACTAGTAATTCTGATCAAAATCTAAAACAAATGATTTATAAATACTTTTTAATACAATAATTATGCAGGTGAATATATTTTGTTTCAATGTTTGAATACTATAATCATTTAAAATGATATGTGTTTTTGAATTAATCGGTGGAAATAATATGCTAATTTCAATAAATTTAAAAAAATCGTATTTAATTTTCGATAATTAATATTATTGGTGTTTACTAAACACATGATAATATTTCAGTGTGATTTTTGCTATAGTACATTTAAAATTTGATTTTTTTTTTTTTGCGTCAGGAAATTAAAACGGTAAGAGTGTTAATAACGTTTCTGGGTTAAAACAATAATATATTTTCTTAAACACGCATAGTACACAATAGATATGTAGTTTATATAACTAATTTATAACATTAAAATATTATTAGTAATAAATACTATAACATTAATGACAACTTTTAATAAACTATATACGTGTAAGTATAAATAGAACAATTTTAAATAAGTTATTTTACATACTGAATATGTTTAATTTAAAAACTAATTTGTACATATAATTTGTGCTCTCGGGGTTTTGTGCCCGTAAATAGTAAGTATTTACGTGCATAAAAAATATATACGAGTATATAACTGCACACCAGTCACAAGATCACGTAATTTTTTTATTAAACGCAAAAATTATAAAGAAAAGAAAAAAAAATGTATAAGGAGAAATTGTACGTAAAAAATATACGAAACGGGTTAGTATACTAAGTAGATAACAGATGAGACATGGTAACATCGCATACAAAAAGTACCTGAAAAATAAAAAAAAATGGTAATAATAATAATAATAATAATAATAATAATAATAATAACAATAATAATAACAATAATAATCCAGAATGAGAATAAAAATCCGGATCATCCCATTTGCCTCATTTGGTGAGTGATATAACGATATGGATATGTTATATTATAGTGCCCTAAACTTTGCCTATCACCGCCACACGCCGTCATATCGTTGAAACAAAATAATCATAAACTTTCCATCGGCATTAAATTGCAAATATAACGGTCCTGATATATTTGGACTTAATTAATATGTAGTATATACAAATATAGTAACAACAGATATATTCAAACCGACCGGATTCTAAAATATGGATGTATCTAAATTGATTCCCGAGCTTATACCCCACATGCCAAATTGGTTACCATTTGAACAAGGTACTTTATGAAAGTGAGTCAAATTGGCTCCCGTTTAAAACCTCCATTAAATATAATACATGTAAGTATAATGAAGTACATTTTAGATAGTTTTACAAAGATGTTTTTTTTTTTTCTGTGGACAACTTTTTTACCAGAGAACTTGCTCCGATTTTTACCTGTAGTACCTTTTCTGAAAGGAAATCGGTGTGGGAAGGTACTATAAGGAAGTCATTTTTCGATTTAACCAAGAGTTTTCTGATTAAATACGAAAAATCAAAATAAACTGAGAAAAAACGGGAAAATGTATGATATATATTTGTAAAGTATTATAATTATATTTTTCTATGAACAACTTTTCTACCAACAATTTCATTCTAACTTATAATGATAGTAATTTTTCTAAAAGGAAATTTCATTTGGGGGGGTACTTTAAAGGGGTCATTTTTCAATTTTCCCAAGAGTTTTCTCCGAAAAGAAAATGTTAAAAACCGAGAAAAACTATAGGAAAACTAGGAAAATCGGAACAATATTAAAAAAATATTATTAAAGAAAATATGTAATGCCTATTTAATCACTTTACTATAATATGACATATATATATTGTTGACAAAGCGACACTATTAATTGAACACCATTTAGAATTGTTTTTCAATGGTAAGCAATGGTATATCGTTACTTACAGGTATAAATTTTATTATCTAATAACAATGGCTGCACTCGTCTCCATTATCTTAGAATAGCTTTTTTAAACTTTTATTTAACTTTAATTATACTATGGCATGTATTTTCTAGTTATCAAGGTAACTTATCAAGGTTACTAGATAATGTTATATCGGCATATTGCCAATATTCTGTCCTTTACGTGTATAAATTGTTAAACACTAATTAATATTTCTACGCGACCATATGTGAAATCGACATTAATAGAGGTATGGTAAACCGACGACGTTCTCACGCATCAACGGATGTTACGTGTTAATGAAGTGAAAAGAAAACATGTCCGGACAGCGGCGTCCACCACCACCTAGGCCCTGACCAAAGCAACGATCACATATAAGACGACCGGAAGAACCACAAAGGAGATTCAGTCAGCTCAGGACAACGGATTGTATACCTGCACCACCACCGACTAACGAGAAGGATACCTTGTATCTGATAAATACAACTAAGTCTTGACCCGGGTCAAGTGTTGAAAACGTCACTACATATATTTATAAATTGTGAGTTTTTGCAAAATAATAATAAAAACTATTTGTAGACTTAAAATACTTCATCTTTTCATCCAACGGCTGTGTCCGAAGGGCACGTAACATCAAAATACCGCAATCAATTAAGATTGCGTCAATCCATCTGGGTATACATATTTATATAGCTATATAATATACCAAGTATAAAATATAAAAATGTGCCTAATATAAAATCTAAGTAATTCCAAATTGATAGTCCTAAGCCTATAAGAATAGGAAGGAAAATATGTGTATTTGACAATCTTACATGCGAACAGTGGGCACCAATTCCGATGATACACGATTGCGGAAGATTATAGTTTAACAATGGACTCCCAGAAACGACACAATTGCAGACAAATATTGTCAAATTTATAACTAATACTTCGATAATGTAGAACTTCTGAGCTTATTAAATGTAATATTTTACAAGTAATTTCTGTTAAACACTGCAGTTATACCAGTTTTGGTAGCTTATGGCAGTATGTCCAAGCCCGATTGAAAATATATTTTCGGACTACGACTTATCAAATTATGTAGAACCTGATGCTTTATTTCCAACAAATCTTTAGGCGTCCAGACCAACGTTAAATCCAAGGTATAATAAGTAAATTAGTACAATAGCATATATTTCAAAATAATTGACTTTTCAAAAATATAGTTATTAATAGAATAGGTATACATTTTTATTGAAGAACTACCAATAGAGCGGACAGTTTTCATCAGACATACAGTAGCAATAGCCATTTTAATAATATACATCATCCAATTTATTTAGTTATATCGATTTTAAAAGAAACTCAAGCCGACAGAGACAATCATCTCATCAATAAACAAAGGTCAAGAAAAAACGCTGGCAAAAAATGATTTAGATAGAATTAAATTAACTATTCAGAGCTATAATGATTATAAAAATCACAAAAACGTATTGCAATATTTAAAAACAATTTATTACCATTACACAAGGAAAAAAATATTAATTTAAATGTGTATGTAGAGTGCTTGTTTTTTTTTACTTTTATGTATTTTTTATGACTTTTTGACGTACATGTATTAATATTGTGGACTTCTATAAATGTGTACAGTAAGCTGTAGCTCTTCGTTTTTTTCTTCTGCCATACGTATTTGTTTCTCGGTTAAAGCGTGGTCCAAATATGTCTCGGAATACTTTTCTTTCAAATATTGTTAACTTTCTCTCGTCGTCTTTTGTTAATGACCATGTCTCACTCGTGTACGTCACTATCGATCAAAAATAGCTGTGGTATAGGCGTATATTTGATGTCCATAATAGTAATTTAGATTTTAGAAGTTTAATTATACTATATTAAAAACCTATTTCCACTCATGATTTTTTCATTTATCTCTTTGTACGTATCATTCCTGTTGTTAACTCCCAAATACTTAACGTTGTCCACTGCATTGAATTTTAAATTTTCTACAAATAGGTCGTTTGTTTATGTGTAAATTGGTCTTGACATCACCATGTACTTAGTTTTACTTTCATTTACATATAAGTCCATTGCCATGCTTGTTCGAAATAGTCTCTCAGTTGTTTGAGCAACTTCCTGCTTAGTCTCTCCTATCACTACAATATCATCGGCGTAAGCCAACATCACTGATTCTCCACTTATCTTCATTTGCCTTTGCTCATTCTTATCTCTTACTATTTTTTTAACGGCTAAATTGAATAATGTAGTGCGTCTCCCTGACATAAACCAGTTTTTACCTCAAATGGCTCTGAGTCAATCTGTAAGAACCGTATTTTGCAAATTGTCTTCTCACTGCACATTTTTATTAGATTCATATACTTCTCCGATTCTCCAATTATTTCCAATCCCTTCCGTAATTCACCCATGTCAATACTGTTATATACCTGCTTGTAGTCTATAAATACTTAGTGCAGGTCTACCTCAAACTCATAATACTTTTCCATAACTTGTCTTAACATAAATGTGTGGTTGGTGGTTGCCTTACCTTTTCGAAAGCCACATTGATAACTTCGAATAACATCATTGGCTTATACATTTATTCTTTTTAATATTATTGTTGTTAAGACTTTATATCAAACGTTCAGTAGGGGAATATCTCTGAAGTTTTATATTTCTGCTAGGTTTCCTTTTTTGAATATGGGATAAATTATAGCAGTGCTCCAATCGTCTAGTATCTTTTCTGTTCTCCATTTCTCTAATCAATTCTGTTAATGTTTCCCTTAAAGCTGTCTCTCTTTTCTTAATTAGCTCTGCTACTATATAATTTTTTCCTGGTGACTTATTATTTTTAAGACTGCCCAATCAATTTCTTTATGAGAAGGTTCCGAAATGTCCTCAATCAAAATATTGTAGACTTAATAAAAATACGACGTCAGTGTTATTATATATTAACTATCACTTATTATCAATTATATTTATAATATTATTATTATTATTAATATTGTATAGTACACGATTTAAAATAAACTTTACAGTAAATAGCTTAGTACTGCTCGCACTTGAGACATCAGAACGATAATCCGATCATAAAATTGATAATCGTTGGGCTCGGTAGACTGTGTCGTATAACTTGACAACGGTGCACTAAATTTCGTTCGGAATCGTGTGATTTTTTGGATACAAAATACTAACTTTTTGTCGTTGGTGATCGTCTGCAATCGAGTTGCGAAATAGATAAAGTATCCGCAATCGTGTTTTACCTACCAATTCGACAACTAGTGGATACATCACAAATTTAAATAGTAACCAATTCGACTCACCTTCATAAAATATTTTTTTTTCAAATGAGAACCAATTCGGATACACTTTAAAATATTATTTTGATTGAGGCACGGGTGTAGTGAGTTTAGCGAAAAAATAATATCTGTAAATACCTAATGATAATACAATATTATACCATCGTATAATATATTGTCCGTATTGACCTGACGTCGTATCATAATTTCATATGACCTGCTCGTATTATCACAATATTTAGAATAGGACAGATGAACGCTAATGTGTGTTTTGGGTTATTTCACTAACTACCTAGTTTTGTTTTGCAATTTCTGTTTTTTTTTTTTTTTTTTTTTTTTTTTTTTTTTTTTTTTTTTTTTTTTTTTTTTTTTTTTTTTTAGCAAAATTAAGTTTTCGCCTTGTGTATATTACATAGAGACGAGTTTACGAGAACAATACTATAAACCTACACAAATCGCATCAGTATAATAGATAGCTACTTATCATATAAGTATTATTTATTTATTTTATTTATTGCTATTTACTAACTATTGTAAACATCCAACATCTACTGTTATAATAATATACTAATAATATAAGCGGAAATTATTAGATATAGCAACGACTGCACTTACCAAGTGCGACAGCCATCTGGGCCATGCCCTTTGTTCCACGACTATGGACGTCGTCAAAGTCCATTCCGTTACAGCTGCAATTGACATTTTCGTAGTCCGGTGATAAATCACATTTTCCTTCGCCATCGTCCCAACGTCTCAACGGTCGACACCCACGAACGGTCACGTATTCGACGCGTTCGGTACTTGTCGCTCCACTTCCGTGATTATTGTAGTCGTAATCACCGTAATCTGAAGAACATCCTTGGGCGGCCGAGTCTTTACTGCCCCCTGTGATTAGAGCCGTGAGCGACGCGGACAGAGCTGCGCACAACGACGATTTTTTTCCTCGTTTTTGTTGTTTGTGCCGTTGCTGTCTCCGTTGCCGTTCGGCTTCGCGGTACAAACTCATCTGAAAACATGTTCACATTCGTTAAGAAGACGTGCACCCACAGCCATTGCAGTCGTCCGCAAACCCCGCATTCGCGTTCGCGACGTCCCGCTATGCCTGAGTGACGCACATCTAATAGATTGTGCTATTCAACAGAACCCGGCTGTATGGGGTGACCTTACGGGTGACCGGGTTAAGGAAGGCTTGAAGCCCATTTTCAAGGTCGGACCGCGTCGTACCGACTACGTCTACTGGGTGTGCGAAACCACTCCAGTAGTTTTCGCTGCGCTCATAAAGGCGAAAACGCTCTATTTGGAGTGGTCCCGGTCGCGAGTCAGCGAATATGACCGTGTGACACGCTGTCACAACTGTTCAAGCTTCGGCCACATAGCGAAAGTGTGTCGTGGCAAATTAACGTGCGCCCGATGCGGCGAAACCAGGCATGAGATAAAAGCGAGCCCGTACGTGGTGGAAAAACCGCGGTGTGTCAACCGTGTTCGCTCTCGCGCACCAGCTGACCACCGGGCGACGAGTGCGACTTTTCCCGTTGCCGGGAAAGCGGCAGAGAGCACTAAACTCAGAATAAGCTATGGTTAATACGTCTACCCGTGTCGGGCGTCACAGTAATCTCGAATGGTAGCGCGGCGGACCCGCTTTCGGCGGCCGTCGTCGTGCTTCGTCCGGGGTTGCCTCCGCGGAAAAAACAGAGGTTGTTTCGGTTCCCCCCCTCTAGGGCCGAAGCGAGTGCTTGATCGGCCCTGCGCTCGATCTCTGGTCCGGAGCCGGTTTCCACCACGACCCCCCCACCACCGTCATCAGCATACCCGAAGACGGTTACCCCTTCAGTCTTGGTAGCACTAAGTAAATCATCGAAAATGAGATTCCATAAGATCCGTGCAAGCACCGACCCTTGGGGGCATCCTTTCGAGATTTCCTTCTCGACTTCGACCCACTTATGCCGGATCACCGCGCGGCGACCCGATAAAAAGTCCTTAGCGAGGTTGTATAGGTCTGACGGGGTGTCGGGTCGACGCAATGCTGCTAGAACGGACGGCCACCAAGCGTTATCGAAAGCCCCCCGGTTATCGAGGAACGCGACGGCAACGTACTTGGCAGTCAAAACACGCACCGTAGCGAGCAGTGCGTTGATTTATACAATTAACGTAGGTAACAATTAAAATTAGAACTGTTTAATTTGTTACCAATATACTTATCTTATTTAATTTAATATGCCCTAAACAAAATTTATTTTGATATTGTATGAATTATCAATAAAAGCTAATGTTATAAATAAGACCATTTTGGGTGGTGTAAAATATTTAAAAAAACATACTGACAAATACAATTTAATTTACTTTCTTTCCTTTAGTCCTCTAAATATGAATTTTCAGTATAATATTCTGTATTTTTTTTATTGGATATATTTGTATTGTTTTTTTTTTAAGTTCTATCTTTTCATCTTCTCATTTTCTAATACTCATTAGAAATTACTTCTGCACATAACTAAAACAAGTACCTAATAAATTGAATAGTAATAATATTACCTTGCATTCATAAGTGGCTCGCACTGCTGCGTACGGGATCGCGCCCGCAAACAGTACAGCTCGGTTTTGCTTCTGTGGTATGTTGACGGAATTCCGGTGGCAAAGGTTGTCGTCACTATCTTGGCTATACTCCATCTCGACCACGTCGTCAGCATTATCTTCAACCGTCGAACTACTAGGCCACACAGCCACCAGCTCAGTGCAAACCGTCTGCCCAGGGTGCACGACCACGGTACGAAACGCCTGCATTAAATTTGCATTTTGTAGAATTTATACAAACAATTTGATATACACAATCCAATATATGATCAAACTAACTAAACAAACAAAAACCATCAAAGATATAGAAAAACAGTATCGAGCTGGTTTTACAGCTAGAAAATCCACAACTGATCAAATACATATTATAAAACAAGTAACGAAGAAAACCCACGATGTATACATTTTATTTATGGATTTAAAACTCGTTTATATTTATTTATTTATTTTTAACTCTTTAGTAAGGAGTATACTATAGAACTAGGAATACCACCACGGTGAAAAAAATCGGGCCAATGAAAATAAAACCAAATTTATGATTATACCTAGGTGAGAACATTGACAAAACGCAATAACAATAAAAAATATACATCTTTCATTTTAAAGAGTTAGTAATTTTAAATATTTAGAGAGATAATTTAGATGTTTAGGTAAATATAAACTTACAAGTAGATAGTCGCAAAGGGGTACATAGAATAATTATAGCTGGTAAAAAATACTATTTTTCATTAGTCCAATTATTTAAGTCTAAAAAATGATTGAGAAAAACAAAAACAAGACTATATAAGACCCTTGCTAGACCAATTGTACTCAATACCTGTGGAGCGTGGGCGTCTACCAAGTAAAATAAAAACAAATTATTAGTTTTCAAAAGGAAAATTTTGTGAAGAATATTCAGACCAAAAATAAATGAATAGGGTGGTCAAACAGAGAACATTCGAAAAAAATCGAATGCATTAAACTTAAATTTGTTTTTTAGACCTCTAAGCACAAAATATGATATAATTTGAGTTAAATTTCTAAGCATTTCTCCAGTAGTCATATAATTTTAATAGGTAACAAATATCTACCAAATTAAAATACATAAGTAAATGAATATGAAAATATCAATAATACCTACAAATAAAAATAGAATATTTTGAAAATTGGATTTCATCCTCAAAATGACAATAATAGTATTTTTTGAAAACTACAATTATAGTTTTTAACAGATTTACAACAACAAAAAAAAAAACCAAATGCCGTATACTTCGCCGTATTTCTACGGATTTTAGAAATTATTAGGAAAATATACAGAAAATCAAAAATTTTAAAAATTTTAAATAATAGCCGTTGCACCGTAATTTGAAAAATTGTATTTTTCGTCTTTTTTAGTTTTTCCCAATTATTATAAAAATTCTTAAGATAACAAAAAATAAATTTATCTATAAGTGATTATAGATATTAAATGGAACAAAATCAATCTTCGGTACTTTTTCGATTAGACAAAAATTTCTGGTAGTAAAGTGGTTTATAGACGGAGAAAAAAACACATCATAGTAAAATCAATAAATTCTACGCTATGCTTCGAATCTAAAATTACTATAATACGCACAACTTTTAATAAAATTTGTAATAAATCTCCTTTAAATTTACAAGCATTTTTAAACCTCATAATACCGAAAAAAAACTAAAAAAGACGCCCTAGGATAATGGAGAAATAATTATAGGTAATTGAATGAATATCTGTAAGATATGATGAACCATAGCTTACTAAAAACGATTTTGAGCGCTGTTCATTTGATAGTGATGCTTTATCGACAAAATATATATATATATCATATTATGGTAAAAAAATTAAATAGGCATTATATATTTTCTTTAATAATATTGTACCCATTTTTCCATTTTTTAGAGCAAGTTTTCTGGTAGAAAAGTTTGCACAGCAAATCGAGGGGTATTTTTCAATTAAAAAAGTCCGAGCGAACGATTAGCTGGGTCTCTAGGTACACCTAAAATACATTTGTTTTTTCCTGTTTAGGTAAAAGGGAAAAAATAAGTGCAAACAATTTTTTTTTGAAACACGGGTTTGAACTCGCGAGCCCTAGGATGATATTACCATTGGCTATGACAAACATATTTAAAAACATACAATATAGAATTATATAACATAATTTAAAATATCCGTATAATAACAGAATTTCAAAAAACTGTTATTTCGAAACTTAGTCAGTACGCTCATTTCTGACTCGCATTTCTGTTCAAATCTAATGATTTTACTACAGAGTGCCTACTGAATAAAAATTACATATAAAACTCGCAAGATTATAATGTCTATAAATAGCTCAAAAATTGCTTAAATTGTTTGAAAATTTTACCACATCAAGATAAGGTAAATATAAGTTTTATGTCAAAATTATAAGTCCATAGAGTTCATAAAAATAATTTTCACTAAATTTCAACAAAAATATTAAAATTTTTATAAAAAGCCTAAAAATGGCTCAAATATTTTGAAAATTTTACCATGTCTCAAAAAAGCAAATACGAGTTTTCTACCTAAATTATCAGTCTCTAAGTATATTTTTAACTGACTTACAGCAAATAACAAAATAAAATAATAATAAAAGCATTATTTTCGTAAATTTCATGCCTTCTTTCGTTTTATCCTGGTTTTTTCTAGATATTATTAAAACCGCTTGGGAAATCAAAAAACTACCTTTCAAAAGTACCATCTGGACAATATTTTCTTTCAGATATGGTGTCGTGCACACATATAGGATCAATATTTCTGGAATTTTTGCATACAGGATAAAAAAAGAAATAATAAACATCTTTGTAAAAACAATATATTCTTTGCTACACTTAGAATCTAAAAACTGGAAAAATCATATGCATTTAAATAACTTGGAAAAACTTGCAGAAAAGTTTTGAAAATCTTACCACGTCTTGAAAAAGCCAAATATACAGTACAATTAAATTTCGGAGCGAGATTTCTGTTAGAAAAAAGAAATCATAAAAATCCAAAATAATAAATATGTCATTTTCGTAGATAGATTTTTGAAAACCTTTAGAGAAATCAAAAAATTAACCTACTTATTATTACACTATGACTACGTAGATCCGAAAATCTTACAAGAAAGCTCCCACAAACGGAGACCAGATTTCTGGTCGTCAACACGGTAACAAAAAAAAAAAAAAAAAACAAATAAGATCGCGCACACCATAGTAAAATCGTTACGGAATAGAAAAATTGTAGGTACTTCGGCGTAATCGTCGGCGGCCCAGCACACGGCAGGATACACGAGCCGTTCTCTCGGCCCCTTTGCCGCGTCCATTCGCCGTCCGCTGGTCGACGCGTACACGGTCTGTTGATTGCGATTAACGTTGATGGACCGAAAACAGCCGGAAATCGACATCGATCGAATATACGGGACCGAGAAAAAAAAAACCGTTGAACGTACAATACCAATAAACGATGTGTGCGGCGGGTAGGGCGCGAAATGGCTCACGTGTACGTGTCGGGACAGTAGTTGGAGGTCATATTCCCGGTCGTCGCATCCGTCTTCGTTGTCGTCGTCACCGTCGTCGAATAATTCATATTGTTCACCGGTCTCCGGGTTACAATGATAATTACTGCCGTGGTGATGGTCCGCGCCGGGACCCGCGGTCGCCGATTTCCTGGGCACCCACGCGCACACGGCCACCGTCAGCGTGTACCGCAACCGGTGGACAATAGCGTTCAGGCACACCGTATGCCGCCACAGGACGGCCGGGTCGCCGATTGGCAACAGCACCGGCTGTCGTTGCTGCTGTTTGCGGTAAACCCGAGTGTCGTAAGCCACCTATTGAATCGGTGATTGAAAAAAAAAAATTTTACAATCGAAATAACACGAGACGTGTTTTGACGATGCAGTTTTGAACAACCCAGTTACTAAGTTTAGTGAACAAACTGTTTCGGCGACATAGTTTACAGTAATTGTTTGATAGTTGAATGCATTTTTCGACGGCAACCGGGTTGCCGGAATCAGCAGACGATTGAAAACTGTGTTTACTGTTTTCAGTTACTAATAATCTACTGATAAGGACTATCATTCAATCATTCCATCAGTTTTCCACAACGAAAAATACTAAACAATAAACAAAACGTTTTGTCGAGTAACCGATCAAGTAGCAAACAACGCAGCAAACTGTTTACTGAAAGTTGTATCGCCAAAACACGACTATTATTATATTATTATTATCGGTTAAATCCATCCGAACCGGTCGACCGCCAATGTTCAAACCTATAACTGGTTTCTATGTTGCAACTTTGAGTAAACAGCTTCCTGCGTTGGTGGTTGTTGTTTGTTACTTGGTCGGTTACCCGCCAAAACAACGTTTTGTTTACTGTATAATTTGTATTTTTTGTTATAGAAAATGGATGGTCCTCAACAGTAGATCATTGGTAACCCCGAAAACAGTAAACGTAGTTTTCAATTGTTCGATGATTCCAGCAACCCGGTTGCCGCATTCAACTATCAAACAATATTACTGTAAACTATGTCGCCAATCAGTCGGCTTAATAAACTATCAACCACGTTGCTGAAAACTGCATCGCCAAAACACGCCTATAGTGTTAGAAACATTGTTGCTACTGTAGATAATGCAGGTACTGTACAGACAGTGAGTTTCGGGGCGCAACAGAAATTATTACGGACAAGAGTGTCAATCGGTGATGTGTATTTACCCGTCGTCGTCGTTGTTGCGGGGACAGGCCAACGCGGCGTTTCGATTTGCGTTTATTGCGCCGTCGCCGCACGAAAAACAACAAGTCGTCCGAGTCGGCGACGGCTGTTGCCGTTTTAGTGCCGCGGTCGTCGTCAAACACGAAATACCGCAGGAACAGGTCGGTCCACCAGTACGCCGAGGCCGCCTCGTCGTCGTCGTCGTCGTCGCCGTCGTCGCCGTCAATCCCAGAAACCGACAAGGCCTCCGTTCCACCTGTAAGGCACGCACACGAATAATGCAAATCTGGATGCGTCGAAGAACGCGGGATCGACGTGGCGCGATGCGGCGCCGTGGTGAGCGGGTAAACGGCAGTTTTTCGCGGTGTGTAAAACGCATAAAATTTGTTGTGTTTACTATTTTAATTGAATATAAAATTTAATGACCCGCAATGTTTGTGGTTCGTCTTCTGAAACGATGTATTTTGTTTCGATCGTATCACGATTAATTGTATTAGACGCCGTTATGTGTATTTACAACAATTCACAATATTGTATTTATACAATCAAAAAAACAGAAAATGCATATTCTGTAACGGGTAACAAGAGAAAGAAAAAAAAACGGTTGACATAAATAACAGTTAACTACCAGGTAAATTACATAGCGCGATAGATTTTACTGTAAACCATACAGGTTATAAATATAAACTGGGTATTACGGGGCATGCAAGATGGGCGACCGTGTCTTAATATACGCGTGTACAATATTAATATTATATAAAATATCTATTATCGTATTAAGCCAACACGTAAACGATGTGGAAATCGATGCGGGCACTACGAATTTACGTGCGGGCGTTAATCTACGGCAGTGGTTCTCAACCTTTTTGGATTCGTGTCACCCTCATCCACGATAACCCAACACTACGTCTCCCTAACATCAAAAAATAGTTATATATGTAGAAATACTGACTAAGTCCCGTTTCAGATAACGTAACGTTTTCGCACGTCGAACGGACGTATTTATAGTGTTAACTATAAATATAAATAAATAATACAAAGATGAGAATTTTGCGGTATCTGTGTCGTTTAGTGTAAACAATTATTGCGTTATTTGACTGTGGTAGCAGTCACGTGATTACCGTTACAATAATACGATTTTAAAAAAAAATTCTATATTTTTAAATTTTCCCCAAGGATTTCTTGTCACCCCTACCCAAGGGTGACATGTCAACCCGGTTGAGAACCACTGATCTACGGGCACTACGTATTTTGTCTGATGCCGTACCGGAACATACGCGAGAACTAGTATATTTGTGAAAAATACGGATTTCCGGAATTCGAAATCTAAAAATATCAACATTACAGTATGAAATATGATCTATTGATATTGGTGATTATTGTTTTTTTTAATAATAATACTAATGTTATAATAAGTAATATTTGTATTTACGACAATGTAAAATCATGGAATGTTTATTCCTACGTTTTCCCAATGTTTTTTTTTTCGTTTTTTCCCAATAACTATGAAAACCTGCACGGAAATTCAAAAGATGACTCTCTTAAAGTGCCAACCAGACAATTTTCGGAATTCGAAATCCGGAATGTCGGGCAAGACGGATTTATATCACATCCCTATATAGTCAGAACACTGTAGTTTTCATGGAGAGTTATGTAATTTCGAACACATTCTGCCGTATTTTTGAACGATTAAAATCGAATTTTGTTATTTGATATTGTCATTGTTATTATTCGGGTATTATTTGGATAAACCGATGGTTGTTATTCGTTTTTGTCGGGTCTTGGTCATCCGGCTTCCAACGATCAACTAAAATCAGAATTCGTTGAATCACAAAACGATTTCAATTCGTCTGGTGGACAATAATTAATACATTATTTACGTATCGCGTTAAACCTGTCGATTATCAAACAATGTTCAAATCGAACTTCGCTCAATATCGGTTTTTTTTTTTTCGCTTTTTTTTCTTACGGTTAATATTACAATGCAATGCCATTTTTATCGTTCGCCGCAGTTTCGTACCACTTCTATTGCATCTGCTTACTTCCCACCAGGATCACCTTTTCCTGCAGAAGATCTGTCACTATTTCTTCAAACACTAAATCACAAATACGTCATCGTACATAAATAACACAACAGTGAAAAACTTACCACCAAAATCCATTATTCTTCTCACCTACATCTTTAATGCTATATTTCGACTATCTTATTTCCCTACCACATGGAAATCATTATAACTATACTTAAACCAGGCAAACAACCAGATATGCCCGAATCCTATAGATCAATCAGTCTACTACCCACGCTTGGAAAAATTTTTGAAAAACTTCTTCTCAAGAGACTTGTCAAAATCGCACTCACACAAAATGGCCTTCCCAACTTCCAATTCCGTTTTTGAGCCAAACATGCAACTTTTCACCAACTCCTTTGTGTAGTAGACAACATTGCGCTTATACATATACCGCTAACAACACTCACCCGTCGTTGCCGCTCCACGATCCTTGTCGCCGCGTCTCTTTCGGTGGCCTCGCCCGGCCGACCGCAGGCGTTCCCGCTCCCTGTCCCGCTGGAACGCGATGTCCGCCAGCAGCCGGTCAACGGACGAACCGGTCACCGCGGACCGTTCGCCGCCGCCGTTCAACTGTAAGCCGCACGGACGCCTCCGGGCGTTGGGCCCAGACGTCGTCATTGTCGCTGTGCACGCCGTTCGCGCGGATCGCGCAGCGTCGGATCTCCGAATCTGTACAACGCAGACGGCTTTATTATTGCATTTTGTATTAAAACGAGAACTTTACTACACAACGTTTATTATGATTGTGTGAAAACTATAATTTATGATAAAATGTGCTATATGAACTTTTGGGTAGTGCTACTAAAAAAAAAATACGCTATGAGAAACGGTTTTTACTGGGGTTGGTAGTATCAGTGGAGGATTCAAGGGAGGGAGGAGGGCGGGTGGCCCGCCTCCTCCCCCCTTGACAATTATATTATATTTGTTGTGGTAATTATATGAATCGTTATAATGGTTATAAATCGTCGTTCAAATTGCGGTCGACCATCACTCGTTACGATAGTCAATAATGTTGATGCTATTGATTGTAATCGTATCTGTATTTTACGTTTAGTGTTCATTGTTAAAAATTAATATGAAAAATGTTAAGTGACCCCCCCTCCTCTAAAAAAAAAAAACCTTTATATGGGTACTCTATAATTCGTTTTATACGTTACATGTAAAAAAATGATAATGCATACTACTTTACAACGACTAAGCTATAAGGAATTATACATTTTTTTTTTCCTTTGAGATCTAGAAATTATAATCATTATAATAATGATAATACTCTATGTTTTAAATTCTAACAAGTGTACAAACTTATAAATTAATATAAAAAATTAACAAACTACATTTAGGTACCTGGCGGATTTTCTCGAATTTAAAACAAAACCAAAACACGACAAATTTCATATTTTGTCGTTATAATATATTAATGCGTTTATTAATAAATAATAAAGACGAACTTGATAACTAATACGAAAAATTATCACATGATAAATTATCTTAGGTAATTATCGTAAGGATATAATATAAGCTAACATAAGATATATATATATATATATATATATATATAACAATAATTAAATGTCCGCTGTTATCGCGTTATCAATATCAATAATTGTCAATTATTATTATAGGTACTTGACAGTATTATTGTTGTTCTGTGCCATCAAAAAAATAACTTTTATACATTATAAAACTATAGTAGTTATTTATACTTTAGGTGTTATACGTCCCGATCCCGGTTTTAAAACACAGTCAGGTTACGGACGGGGTAATCAACCCGATAAAAATTTTTAAATAAAATTCCGAAGAAATTAATTTAAACCGTATTGCGTGTCGATAAATTATCTCACTAATTTCGGCATGTTACGTGTTATAAAACACGGTAAAAATTATTACAACGCTTTTTTTTTGTTTTTTTTTTTTTTGTATTATTATTATTGATTATACGAACGCTTACGTAAAATAAAACATATCAATGGGTGCGTATTTTATTGGAATACCTACCCCTCCAAACAAAATTTTACACAGATTGAACAATTGAATTATCGAGCGTTGTTGTAATTGTTCGAAAAAGAAAAAAAAAATAATAATAATAAAAAAAATGAGATGACAATAGTGTACTGCGGGTTTAATGTGCACGTACAAGGCAATAAACCGATTTAACAGCCTGCACCGAAATAATACGGGCGGCAAGGAGGGTCTTCCGCCACACGACCGACGACGGGTTAAACGCGTAGCGTTTCTCCCCTCCCCCTCCCATAGCAATCGTTATCCGTCCCGGAGTCCCTCTACAATTACAAGCACACTACTCTCGGTCGGTAAATATAATAGGTTGTTTTTTTTTTTTATAATTATTATTATTGTTATTAAACGCGCATCATAGTTTAAAAACTCGACAAAATAAAATCACGGGCGTCGCGTGAAATAACGTGAAATCGTGAAAACGATGAAATATTACTAAAATATATCGCTGTTAAATATTAGCGAGGTTGAGCGATAAAAAAAAAATATATATATTATTATTGAACATAATGTTTTACTAATATCACATTGTGACGCCGAATTTATTGGCGAGAAAACGGTCGAAAATAAATAATTACGTTCAAATCAATAATGAAATTGGCATTCGGGTTACACCTGCCTATGCCGTACGGGTATTAAAACAAACTATACCCGCTAAACGTGCGCAGATGTTTAAGGGGTCGCGTATAGGCAATTATTGTAACAAATACAATAAAATTAATGTAGAAAAATAATCGAGTAATAATTTTCCGATTTCCGTATGGATTCGATCGAACACGTCTCGTTGTATTTACGTACCGCGTAGTCGTACATTCGCCCTCCCCTCCGCCCGTCCCGCGAAATATATTCGGAATCGATCCGATAACAATATGGAATACGCCGACCGGCCTCTTCGATGTTTCCCGACCGCTTTCCCCCACCCCACCCCACCCCGCCACAACCGGCCATTTATAATAACAATGATAGCAACGATGATAACGAAAATGTCGGTGCGTTGTTGATATCGATTCTTACCGTTCGTCTCGTCGGCCGTCGGCGGCGGCGGCGGCTGTTCCGACGGCGCACGAGCCGCGCGAGCTCGGTCACCCCGCACCGCGCGCACGGTCCTCCGGCGGACCGCAGGCCCGGGCCGGGCGTTGGCGTCCCGAAGCTGATCGATAAGCGGCCGAGCTTCGCGGACAATGCCGCCGACGGTGTACGGAAAAATCGCGTCCGAAACGGCGTTGTCGGGCGCCGTTATTGTCGCGGAGGCGCCCGCGCGCACGATAATAATATTGTTTTACCGTCGGTTACGGCCGCGGTAGCAAATTTTCGCGGCACGTCTAGAAAACACCGGCTATGAAACGTACTAACGATATTGCTATTCCGACGAGACGCGATGGCGATGTTCGATATTATTGTGACGACAGCGTAATCGCGGCGAAATTTTAAAACGGACAGACTGACGGACGGACGGACGGACCGCTCGCGTTTTCTAATAATAATATCGATCGGCGATGATCCCGCGGTACGACGGACACAGCGACGGGAGACCGGCCGTTACCGTCGACGGGACGTCACTGCCGGAGTACGAACCCTGCCGTTCGCCGCTCGGTGATAACCGATGAGTTGGACGGCGGCGGTGGCGGCGGTGGCGGCGTTAGCGTCGGCGGCGGCGCGGTCGTGAAAATCGATCGACCGTCGGCATGGCAACGGCCGATTATTTAATATTGTTATTTTCACGCCAGCAGCGTACCGTATCGTTAGATGATGCGACCTAAATCGCGTAATATTATTATCGTCATTTCTTTAGGTTACAATTATTATTACTATTATTTTTGTTACTGTAGATTATTACAATCGTTTTGTATAGTCTATAAGGTTTTTCGCGTGCGTGTCCAGTGAGGCGTATTTAACGGGGGAGATGGACTAAGGACATAATATTGTTTTTCCGCTCCCATTGACATTTTTTGTCGAATTTCCTCCCTCCCGTCCCCGAAAATAGAGATTGTTTTCGTATCGCGTATAATTATTATCTTTCTCCCGGTAAATTTGGACACATTTAGCGGCTCCGTGTGGACCAAGTTACCCAGAACTCGGGACAAAGACGGTTTTACAGGCAGATTTAAATGACATAATTTTTGTCTTAATCTCTTATCCGACAATTTGTATGCTCAGATTTCATGTTTTTTATAGGATATATTATCGAGTTTTTAATATCATTAATCTGGGACCCGGAAGTTATAAGAGCTAATAAAGGCAAAATATATATGCAAATATGCATGAAAACATTTTAAATATGCAAACAATTATTCAGTTTATAATTTAAAAACACACATAAATGTATCATTATTAATATGCAAAAATAAGTTAAAGATTAAATACGAATCGCACCATTGTCGTTGAATTAATAATAGACTGAGACGGTAAGAAATATTAATAAATAACTATGTTAAATAATATTGAAATATAAATTTAATATTATTCAAAATAAATTCGTTAAGGAAGGAAAAAAATCTATTTTTACAGAAAATATTAAATATATCACTGAAAAATAGACAAGTATGCACATTTTTTCTGAAATTAACGAATTATGCAAATTATACACTTTAAATGTTCAAATTTTAAACATCGTATAAAAAATATTTCTAACTTGGCCTGCTATAAATTCAGTGCACACAGAAAAATATACAACTCCTATAACTCCCGAGCTCTAATTATTACTCTTACAGGCTCATTAAAGTAAGAAACTGGGTAAAATTTAAGCATGTATAAATAAACTTGTTGTCAAAGATATGTATTTAGAAAGTTTGAACTTCCGATTTCTGACTTCACCGTCTGTTTGTATTTAATCAAAAATCTTTTGAAAAAACAAGTCTGGTGGGCAAAAATTTGATTCAGGCGAATTCAATTGAAAAAAATCAAAAATAGGTCGATACTTAGTGAATATACCTATATAAAAAATAACCTAAGCGCATACATTTTCATGTTTAAAAATTAATAAAACCTATTCGAATCACATTAATACGAATGTGGTTGGATTATTATCTGAATATATATATTTACATAATTTAATATATATTCAGATGTAACTACTACATTATAGTAAATAAACGATTAATAATTTATTACTAATACCAGCATATAGTTATTTATTTCAATGATAATTCTAGGACAAGACTTTAACGCCTATTAAGCTGTCAACGAGAAGAAGATTATTAATTGTTTTAAAGGGGATCGCGTCGCGTTTTTCGAATTATCAATCAGAAAAATAAAAATGTACAGTGATTAAAAAGAAACTAGATTGAAAAAAACAAGTTAAGAAAATATATTTATGTATTTTCATTATCGATCTATCCCTCGGGAATATTGTTTTCTATCTATTTCATTACAAATATAGGCTCTTTTAGTAATAAATATTATATCACTTTGAAGGGTTCGACTTAGTTTTGGTTTTGTGCGAAAATATGTTTTTGAATCCAAAGCTACCACCCAAGCTACGAGTTTTAAATTTATTAGAAATGGAATACAATTATTTTCAAGTCCGTAAATTTTAATTTTTTTTTTCTTCGAAAACGCGTTAAAATTGCCTATATAAAACCCCTTGAATATGGTCTGTGCAACTTTTTATTAATAAAATATCAGAAAGAATCAGTTTGCAGTTAAGGGGATCGGTGGCGGACAGTTATTTTAGCCAAAACATCCAATTTTTATTCCATCATAATGATCGATGTAGTAATGCGATAACATTTTTGAAAACTTATCTGAATTCGTTATAAAGTCTACTAGAGATCGGTCAGTCTATTTTTCCCAATTTCACCCCCCTAACACCTAAAAATTTAGTTTGAATATTTTGAAATTTCGGCATTTTCAAACGTTGATTATTTGGAATATAAATCAGAAATCTTAAAATGTAAACTGACCTTTCTCAAGTAGACATTATAACGAATTCAGATTAGTTTTCAAAAATGTTATCGCATTATTGGATTGATCGGTAGGATGGACCAAAAATACATAGTTTTAGTAAAAAAAACACACGTTCTGGATCGTTCATGCGCGCGACAAGGCGGCAGTGACTTGTACCGGGCGTGCCGCGTGCGGAAGAGTTCCTCCGCCACTATCTATATCGCATGCCACGGTCTGCGATAGATAGATTATAAATCGTAATTATACTATTCTAGGTATTACTACGATACAATTATTAAATGTATAATAACATATTTAATATCTTGCGTATATTGATAATTTGGTATGAATGAAATATAATATAATAATATAACATGAAAATATGAAATATTGTTCATTTGAGCTTCGTCTCACGTCATCACTACACTTGGACTTGGTAAAATAGTGTAAAATAGTAGAATTTTTACGCACTTTTAGTCACTTAGATTTTGTTTCTATAAAACATGATTAGTTTTATTTATAATAATTTGGTAAAATGGGAAATAAAAAACAAAAACTATCCAAAGTGAAAAAAAATAGAGGAAATGTTTCATCACTTTTAAATTGGCAAACTCATCGCATACAAAAAACGTAAGTGATGTACAGCGGTAACATCGTATAATTGTGGACCAAAATATATTAGTAATTTACATAAACAAATTACGAATACTAGCCCTGGATTATTTACAAAACAATATATAAAAAGAGTAGAAAGATCAAAATTAAAATTAAAATGTAGACGTTTAAATTTCGAAAGGTATTATATAATAATTTAAATTTGATTATATTAAACAGATGAGGATAGCTAAATCTATAAATAACTAGTTCTTATATATCTTATATATAGGTACTCTTATATTTGTAAATGATTATATACCTAATAATATAATATAATAGTATTTTTTTTTTAATTTTTATTTAATTATGTAGTGAATAATATCGTATTCTCATTTTTTAATAAATAATTCTAACCATTTTTTTGCTTAAAAACAAGTAATAATAATACATTATATTATATTTAACTGATTTTTTTTTAATTATAAATTATAAGAACTTTTCCAAAGAGAACAAAAATTATTGACGGACCAGATGAGAAATATGGAGCTGTAAATGAATTAGAGTGTACAATAACTGATATGACACATGACAAATATTTAAAAGAGGAAAAAATATTTTTAAATAATTTAAAGTTAACTATAAAAGAAATNAATCTAATATTTTATATTTTTTTATAGGTTTTGTAGTTGATAAAATATTAAGAGACGAAGAATTTTGGAAAAATAATATTGAACCACAATGCACAAAATTTTATATGGAATCTTTAGTCCCAGAAATTATAGACTCGAGATTTGATCGAGGATTACCTATAAGATCTGGTTTACCGGAACCATAATATTTGTATATTTATTTTTTTAATATACTCTCTAAATTAATACATACAACGTGTATTATTATAATATATTATCCTTTATACCTACCTAAAATAAATAGAAAACTCTTGTTTTTATAATAAATACATTTTAAAATTATTAAAAATTAAATTGTGAAGGTTTTTACAGTAAAGCTAAAAATATGTGTGTAGAATAGACGTCGAACAATAATAATATGTTCTATGATAATATAGAACGTAGAAGACAGCGTATGCGGGTATTTACGTAATTATTATTACCGTGTATTACTATACAGTGTGGTTATAGTTATTTGTCAATTAGCAGATAAGATGTAGAGTGGGTAGTACCTGGTGTAGGACAGAGACCCGTACACATACTAATAATCATTTACTACGCACACAGTCACAAATGACTCACGCACGTACTTTAAATATTGCCTATACCTAACTCCTTAAATATACACCACCACCGATCCCCTTAATATTATCTAACTACATTTCGTCATAAATACAATATTTCTACTTTAACTTTATTCATGCGTAAAAATAAAGTTGCGTATAAAATATATTATAGTATTATCATGCATGAACCTTCTTAATCTAATTAATACATGTATAATTACAATTTCTATTAAAGTATTAACGTAATCGCACTCAAATAATTATTTAGGCAACATTAAAATATCATTATAAATAAAAAAATTTTTAATTTAATTCGAAACTGTATGAATAAAAGGATGTTGATAAGTTTGTTTTTCTATCTGCTTTGCATGATTAATAATTGAATTAGTGACATGCTACGGTATCTTAAATTCTCATTTCAGGTTGCTTTATTTAATTTTCCAAATCTTCACATGCTTGTTTGGTAGTTGCACTAATTGTCACTCTGATTTTATTACACTTTCAGTATGTATATTAATTTCTTTTTAAACCAAACTAAACTATGTATACTAAAATTTATACTAAACTTTAAACCTAAACTTTTTAAACTTTTTAGACACTCACGAACGTACCCCTGGAACAAAAACGCCCCAAACCATCAAGCATCTTCCTCCACACAAGAACCTCAAATAAACACCCTCGTGGAATTCCCTTCTCTTCCACAAAATACCAACAATAATTCACACAAAACAATAAAAGAATCTCCCAATGTTCCGAATAACACGACGGATCAACTCACGTCTTTCATCACGGAATTCAGGTCACTAATTAATCCCCTGATATCCCTATTTACATCACTCATCAAAAAACTTATCTCAAAAAATGGCCGAAAATAAATTATCAGCCTTAACCATTCTTCTTTGGAACTTAAACGGAATTATTCTTTGGAGCCCAGCCAAATCGCCAAACGATTCAAGCTTTCCAATCTATTTATCTGCGTATCATCACAAAAGCTCCATCGTAAAGAACGTAAAGAACAAATTATTCCATGACGATCTCCAAATCAAAACCATCCATGATACAACTATCATCTTCTACAAAAAGTTTCATGGAAAATTCAACACAAACACCAACAACCTTATATGGCCTCAGACACTACCTGAAAGCCCCATGAGACGTCTCAAACGAAATTGGTGCAGAGATCTTTTTAGTTTAAAAGACCTAATCAAACAGCCAATGCATGTTAATTAGTTATAAAAAATAACTTGACTACGAGTCTTCCTTCAAGTCATTCACAGCCTATTTTTTGCAATACTTTATTAAATAATTAATTTACTTATTGTATGTAATGTATACATTTTAAATTCTTGATTAACGTCATATGAAAAAAATAAAAATGAAAAAGTAATTAAAATAAAATAATTTGTAATAAAATATAACATATTCAAGGTTGTTACATTAAATTTCAAATAATGTAAAATATATTTAAAGACTAAATTTAGTCCTACATGCAAATACAATTTTTTTTTTTTATAACTTATAACTATACGATATTTGTTTAACAAATTCATAACAATTTATTTCACCATTTTTATAGTCTTTTATGTAAGCTTGATTTCGTTGTTGAAGTTCATCATGTATCACGAGGTTTTTTTTATTATATTGCTACTTAGATTTGTATGTATATATTCGTTTGAATTTCTTTAATAAAGACACTTAATCAGTTCATTCCGGTTCTAACTGAACTCGCTAACGTAGCGTCTAATATTAAGTTGGAAATAAGTTATCTTCATTTATGATATTGTCTGGCAAGTAATCTCAGTTTTTTCAATCTGCTCTCAAAATAAAAAGCTGTCCTAGGATAACCGAGGCGGGTGCAGTCAGTGAACCTAACTTAATCTAATCAGTAGACGCAGAAGGAAAGTATCAGTTACTAGGGGAATAAAATTCGTCGCCAATTGACAAGAGTGAAGTAATCCATTACTAGTGAAGTAAATCCGTTACTAGTGGAGAAAATCCGTTACTAGTGGAGTAAATCCATTACTAGTGAACAGTGAAAGGAGTACCAGTTACTGATGGAGTAAATCCGTTGCCGGTTAACGAGAGTCGAGTTGTCCGTTACTAGTGCAGTAAATCTATTACTAGTGGATAAAGGATTACCAGATATCGGTGGAGTAAATCCGTTACCAGTTAGTAAGAGGTAATGATGTTAAAAAGTATTTTTCACTGTTACTTTTCACTGTGATTCAATGAATAACAGTAACAGTGCCTGTTACTTATATATAAAGTATCAGTGATTTTATCACTGGGACGTTATCAAAGACGTAAAATCAATGGCTTGGACATATTATGAGCAGAAGTCAGAAGAAGATGCTTAGGTAAGTAATGGAATGAAAACCAACAGGGAAGATACCTCGTGTAGGACTTAGAAAAAGATAGATGGATAAGATAGAAAAAGTTCTTAATGAATTAGGAATACAAGAATGGAAAACCTAAGTGCAAGACAGAGTATAATGGAGGGAAATCAGGATAGTGGCGAAAACTTTCAATAAGTATTAAATGCCAGCAGAAGAAAAAGAAGTGACATTATAACGGATCACTATCAAAATCGTCTTCTTCATCTTTTGTGTCATTTATTTACTTTCTTTCCATTTGTTAATTATTTCTATTTTTGGTAGGTTCTTTATTGGTTGAATCGTGGTTAGGAATTTTTTCTGGATTTAAGTCACGATAGAAGCGGTTTCTTTCCGTGTAGTGGGTTAACAGACACGTATGTACTGTGTGCTCATTGTTGTTTGATGACAACGATAAGGCACGATTTTTAAACTGACCACAATAACATATAATTCGATTTCCATAACATATTAGATAAAATCAGAACGATCAAGTATATGATTTTAGCATTCCTCTATAGGTACATAATATGCAGTTACTTAAAGCTCCTGTTTATCTTAACCTTCAAAAAACAAACTATAAGTAAAATGAAGCTTTACTTCAAAGACTATACAAATGGTGAAATACATCGTTATAAATTTGTCAAGCAAATGTCATCAGACATAGGTAGTATTCCTAATATAGTATTCAAAATACTGTTTTTTTTATTTTTTATTTTTTAAGTATTCAGAATATTTTAACGTAAGTAAATTTTTTTACGTGAATACATTAAACTCTCTTCTGTTTCCTACCTTCTCAACTTCCTACCTACAATAGTAGCTGCGCCCGTCCCCATTATTCTAAGACTCTAGAGGCTATCTACAAACATTAGACAGTTATAGACACACACTATCCATTTTCTTTGAACCATTCATCATTCTATGGCATTGATAAAACATGATTGATATACTTCTTAACTTAGTGACTGTCACACACTTTGTGCACTTCGAAATCACAAATGTGCACGATAACATTCTAAAGTAAGTTCATCATTAATAGGTACAATACACATTTACCTCAATATAATTTATACTTGATAAATGATAAGTATCACACAATAAACAGTATAGAAACATTTGTATACACACTAAATCAATTTACCTATAACTCATTACTTCGTGTAATGGAAAACGGGGGAATACCGTATGCAGGGCCAAATCTTATCGTCGGAATGTTATCAATAATTTATATCATAGAGGTAAATTGAATACACTAATTTGAAACGTTTTGTTTGTTTATTTATTAAATATTACAATGCACGTGTTTTGATATCACGTTTTTTAAATAAATAGACTTGATGTTTTCACATTAGATTATTAAAATATTATCAAAATTTCAAAAATTGAATTTTCATATGCGAAAAAATTGTTTTAATTATTGTTCAATGGCTAATTAAGTGTAATTTACATTAATAGTTTAGATACATTAATTTATTAACTTAATGTTTAATATGAAGATCGATTTCTTTTAATAATCTTATGGGGCAAAATCGTATGGGGTAAAATCGTATCATTATACACTATTCGGTTTTACTACATAAAATTTACTACAACTGAGAAACCTCGTGACTCGTCTATAATAATAAATAAGGAGGTGGCATCTGTACATTTAAATTTTCTGTAGTGCACAAAGTGTGTCGTAGTGTACACAAAAATAACCACTGCACCTATTTATCACATCACGACTAGCGCTTAACACTATATTCCGTGTGTAGTCCCATCTCAAAACTTCTTCACAAATTCATTATTTTTATATACATATAAACTGAAGCCACCGCGTACTAATACAATGCGTAAATATTAAACTACAAAAACATTTATTTAAAACTCCCTTACTACTCATTATTTAAAATTCATATTCTAATACAATACAATTGCACACCAATCATTATTAATCATTCAACTATTTGCAGCTTTGTCTGGCACCATAGCCTCTAAGCTGTAATTTAATACATAAATTACAACAGTAAACCTAATACGCAATATTTCAATTATAGCAAATATTAAAAAACCCGAAACGCACACGACGACAGATAAAAATAAAAAAAATTAATTTCACATAAAATTTTGTATTATTATAAAAACTTAATCTGAAAACAAAAATCTTCAGTTGTTTATTCACTCTAAATTTAACAACTACGTTTAACTGTCACTGGCTGAGTTAATCGTACGCAGATACGATTGTGAATA